TATATATATATATATATATATATATATTAGTGTTGGAAAATGTGGGTTCAGAAAAGTTACTGTCCAACAAAGGGTATCACATTTCATCGTACAGGTGACCATGGTGGAGGGCTTCATGGCGTGTCGACATGGAAAAAAGTGGAATTGACTTTTCAAGATAGTACCTGAGTACCACCACCAACACATGACTACTGCTATTGCCTGAATGTTGGTTTGTACGCCCATCTTATCAAACGATTCGCTCGGCTAGATGAACAGGTCAACGGTCAATGAATCCCCCTGAGCTACCGATATTCCGCAACATCAACTGCTACTGATACATAGAGGGCGCTTACTTGTGCTAGTGCGTGATACACCGGGATGGATTCCTTGCAGTCCTCTCCATACCGCTTCTCGATTAAATCCAACGCATGCTGGTAGCATTTGGTGGCTGCACTGTTCTTCTTCTGGTTTGCAAAGCACCTGCGGAATTTCCGAAATTCGGTATTGGACACTTCGAAAATTTGAATACGCCAAAACGGTGGGTCACAGTATTAAATACTAAGGACATCAGACGGCAGAACACATTCAGAGGCCCCCGAAAATGCAGCTGTTCTGTTTCGGAGAATTCGTCGCAAGAGGAGACAGCCAACCTAAGAGCATATGACCTGGGCCTTGAGTTGTACCAGGAGCATCAGGGAATTTGCTAATCGAACCAAACTACAGTGGTTTCTAAGATTTCCGGCATAAAGCGATAACTTAATCGGGCAATTCACGTTGGAATGAGCATACCTCTGAGCTGGATAACTGATAGTCATTACTTCTCAATTCGGCGGCCAACGGGTAAAAACTAGTAGTCGAATTTGGGAGTGTTTCATACATTCTTTAGAAGTTCGAGAAACTGTCTTTTGGGGCATGAAATATCAGCCTAAGTCCCAAAGAACTGAAAACAAGGGAACTTCACAGGATGTCCTGGAAAAAAATCAAGAAAACGGTGTATGTCCTTGAGATTTCATCCAATTTATTAAAAAAAATTGAGATGTGTATCTGCCTAGCGTTTAAATGTGTCATCTAAATGCGACGCTGTAAGAACCCATTCACTCACTGCCGCCACTGAAATCGGTCGTCTGAACAAGGACTCAATGCGTTATTGGCGAGGACATATAACGTTGTATCACCGTACTTTCGACCCCATAAGTGGATCGAACGGTGACGTAGTCTGAAAGTGACTTGAGGATGAATTTCACCGGTATGACACGAAAACATAACCGCTTGGCAAATTTAGATTAAATATGCGACTCGAGGGGTACACGTCATGGGAGAAATCCGTGATCAAACAGACCGATAACTTGCGTGCACAAGAATTATTAATGGTGAAAGTTTAAAGCAGTAGAATTGTTACGTACAGCATATGGCACTGATTCAAACAGCATAGAGACGATAACGGGTCTGGTACGGACGGTTCAGAGGCCGTCTACCAATCCGAACTAGTTAAATGTGCGCACGAAATTTAGGTTTGTGATCTGATCATGGATTCACATGGAATGTAAACTTCACAATGCCATTGTAAAAACGTCAACATCATTGAATCTGTGATCTTTTTGGCGATATGTTGTGCAACCAGCACTTGCAAGGTGTGACTGGAATTCGGTATGGGACTTGGTAACTGTTTCGGCAAATATTCAGACACACCGGGAAAAGTGCCCACTCACTCTATGTATTCGTGCCTATATCTGTGACCTAGAGTGGAGCGGAGTGTATTACTAGTAAACGAGGGACAGAGATGTTCACTCAGATATGCACAGTTTAGAGCGGAACCAAGCTTTTCCCTGATACTGCTGAATTGAACATCATCTTCAAATGGTGAGCACATTACTTCTTTCATTCGATCTTTGCTGAATATGCCGGACAAACGGCTACCAGAATAAATGTTGTAGCAATGTTTCCTCCTTTGAAATTCCATGCAAATTGCATGCAATAACGCCACGACAAAGTAATTTTTCCGCTAAATCTCACACATAGGCTTTTGGTGAGAAGTCACAAGTCCGTCATGCTAGAGCCAGCTAAAACAGTCATACCAAGAACTCATTCCATAGAAACAGTAGGAAATTCCTCCCGATGGCATACATCGGAAGTTATCTTCAACATCGGTACCAAGTTTCACATGGATGAACAACTCACAAGCAGCTAGTTCGTACGACGGACCAGAATCGAATACACCTAGCGAGTGCGACAAAGTCCGTATTGGTTAAACTCGTGGACAGGTGAATGTTCCAGTCAACGTAAACAAGTGACACCCTTGCATCATCCCTAGATGTACATACAAAGCGTCACTGTGATGAATTCATGACAGTTCATACGATCCTTTCATGCGTCAGTAGCCCTGGTAATGTCACGTCACCAGTCATTTGGTTCGGTCTGCGACACTGCAACGACAGCTGACATGTCGTTCAATGCGAGGAGGCATTACTGTCCAAATCTGTGGACATGCAAACGACAATACATAACTTGTATTCTACAGACCACGACTGCTGTGGTATCGTCTCCGCTTTGGCTAGATTTCTGTTACTAGTTCCTGAAAAAAAAGGACAGTTAACTACTTCAACCAACAAACGCCAAGTACAACACCCGAGGGTGTATGACTTATTATTATTGCTATTATTATTATTATTTATTATTATTATTCCGAAACAGGCACGTTGTCCCATATAGAGCAATGCAATCAGTTTAAACTGTTGCAAATTTTAGTTCACAGAAAACTTTTCGACAGCTTTATGAGCAACCTTATGAGTAGTGTATTACGTCCAATCATGATGTCTCGGAAATCGTACCAACTGAAATATGAGGCGACCTAGTATAACACATTTAATTGAAGAAGATTGGGTTGCAGGTGAGTCTCCAGTGAAAACCAGATTGGTGAATAAATGGGTGTTAGATCACAGGACTTACCTACCCATCAAAAATCTTATTCGAATTTGAAGATCTTTCAGTGAAGGACAGAATCCACCTCCGGGTCTAAGCATTGGGGAACTAACACCCTGGTACAACTCAAGAAACGCATCCGAATGGGATTCCTGCATTTGTAGATCAGCATCCGACTCAGCGACTTCACAGGAACGGTGAGATTGTGTGGAATCGAATTGCGGCTCCATGGCAAGCAACTGGTTTAGAATAAGTTCAGAAGCCTCCGCCGATCTCAGGGCCTCTTTTTCTCTAAAGAGTGAGAACAGCATATAACGGACCATCTGTGAGAATAAAATTAGGCCTCATTAATTATTTCGCATTATTTCTTACTGCTCACAGATCTGTTATTGAAAAAAAATTCATCCATAAGGGCTACATCCTGTAACGTTTTCTGCTGGCCAAGACTTGAGGCGTGATCCATCCCAAGATCTCCTACTCCCGTCCTCAGAACGGGTGTATTACCCCCTTCTCCCCATTGTGACTTCTTGTGGGCTTATTGTATCACTGTGAAAACACCAGTAGTGAAGATATTGACCAAATGTGTCAAGCGTTTCGACGACTGAGGACAGTCTTTATCAAGCAACAAATGACATCACCAATATGGCTAGCTAACAACCGGTCAGTGTGCTGTCTTTTGTGTAATGGCTGATATAAATCCAGCCCTGGCGGTTGTATGTGGTTTGACAGTTGGCACTAGGACTAAATTGCCGTGTCACACGAGACCTGTGTTGCTTGAGTCGCCTATGTATGGTGAATTAATCCGGACAAAATGGCAATAACTCAACGCTATTATACGGTGGTCGTAAGCTAATTCGCGGGTGAAATATTCTGCTTGTTCATTAGCTCGCGTCTCTTTGAGCGACCTGAGAATGTTGCTTATGTTTGTTAAATCGAAACTTCAACTGTCTCCTGGGCTGCACAATGTAAACGTGGTCACAACCCGTACCGTCAGTCTGGCAAACAGTTAAAACGGTCCTCGGAACCAAGCTAGTCTTTCGCACGAACCAGCTGGAAAGTGGTGCTGACGTTGAGGCTGCAAAGCGCGCAACGGAAGCTTTCAGATGTTGTCGGTACGGGATCTGCACCATGTCAAGTGTGACCACTTGACATGTGGCTGAGGCGTATTTTCGATAAACTATGTTGAATACCAATTGTTTCTAAATATTTGTTTACTATGGGCCGCCTCGTTTGCAGATTAAACTGTATTACTACAAACCCTATTTTGTGAGTGGACTAGTGTGTGAATTACCATTCTCTTCCTAAGAAATGGATAACTTTAAGTAGAGTTATGACTGGGTTGAATTGTGGTGGACTATGGTTTCAAAGTCACCGTGGTTCCAATAGACTTTATACAGATCAGTACACTTCGAAGTAAATGAAGGGCCGCGCCATCTCGTGGTGCGCAAAGAACCGCACCCTAAAGCCTTATCACCATGATCAGGATGTTTTCCTTCTTGAGTTACCCAATCTGTACTGTGTGAATTGGATTTTTACATTCACAAGATATTCCGTTTGTAATCCTCTACCTACTTGCACTACTGGTACGTCTATGTGGTAAACAGTCAAGGGTTTTACTTCATCTCAATGGACGTCGAATTTGAGAAAACTCATAATACCTGCCAATTAAAAAGGATAATGAAAATCAGATTAAGATTTTTCGGTAATTTAAAAGCAATCGTTAACAGGCCAAACAGGACATCTAGCAACCTCTCTCAACACCAGACAGATACTCTATCTAACCACTTGATCCCTGGGAGGGGCATCTATTCAATTTCACAATCAACAGTTCGCTGTCCATTCCGGTTTCCTTGTAGGTTGTGCTGGAACAATAACCTGTTGCTCTACCATTCATTGAAGAGGAACGCACTTTACATAAAAACATTGAAGTATTTACTGATGAAATCGATAACACTGGACCCGCAGCCAGTGCATATTGCTAGCTGGCTCCATGAGTATCGTTCATGCCAGAGTGGCCTAGGTCGTTGTAACACGGGAGTCTTCGATATTTTCTGTGCTGCACATACTGATGCGAAAAAAATCGAGCATTCACTGAAAAACTGCAGTGAGCGGTGAGTATTTAACCTACAACCAACCTAAAGCTGCCACCTTGACGTCGCGTCGGGCTTAAGTGCTGCAATAATCACGCGGGCTACACTGGCTAGAACGTCGTTCCACAGGGTGCAACCATGCAAGGCCAAACGGGAGCACTCAGACCAAGAGCAGCGAGACCCCGTATTAAGAGTAATCGTGCTACGAGGCGGTCTGGGGGTGAAATGGTACCGTCTCTGCAACAGGAGTGTGAAGGCAGTAAGGTGTTACCCCCAGGCGACCAGCATGTCCATATTTATGGAGGCAGTGATGCTGCCTTCCCTCGAGAAAAGACGGGTCAGAAAAGGTCGGCCCTAAAAACCATACAATCCGATCGTCCAGACCGCCGTGACCGCCGACGCATTATCCAATCCGGTGCTGCTCAAAAGGCACCTATTGTGCGCAGTCGCATCGGAAAATGAGACAGTAATGCCTAATTTCATGAGCCCTTGGGTTAGACCAACTGCCTGCAGCCGAGCAGGTCAAACTATTGAGTCATCGGCTCCGGGAAGGGTCCCCAAAGAAAACTCTACTGTCCGCTGCCTCGTGGGTTAGGCTTTTGAGTGAAAGGCCCAAGGTGGGGTACCTCAGCCAAACCCCCTTCCTCGGCCTGGGCAACCGGGGGTATCATTTGCCCGCGCAGTTCGGTGTCCACCGATGTCCCTCCCCACTCCCCTCCCACCACACAAGCAAACGTCACTGGTCAATTGACTGTCAGTTATCTGACCAAAGGGCCTCATGCTACCCGCTGCCTATTAACAGTAAACAAAATAACACCCATCAAAATCCACGAGGTCCTTTCTATATAGGAGCTTTCAACGTCCGTACTGTCGAATTGGGAAACAGGTAGTGCTTGCTGTAACCTTGCACTTCCTTAAAATTGATGTATGTTGCGTCTCCGAAACATGCATACAAGACCCGAGTGTGGTCTCAGAACGCCAAGAATGAACTCAGCTGTTTCACTTTTCTCCCTCCATGTGTCCGGTGAACCAGAAGCGATGACTCGTGGAAAATATGGCGTGGGAGTTGCACTTAGCCCCAGATCTGAACGCGCTTTGCTGGATGGGATCGCAGTGAACAGTCGTCTTTGCGCCGACTGGTTATCCAGTTCAATCAAGCTCAATGCTTCTCGGCATATAAAGCCGTGCCTGCTTGTAGTGTCCTCCTATGTCCCAGCGGACTGCAATTCTGATTCTGAGATGGATACGCTCATTCGAGAGCTATCCAGGCTAATTCGACTGTGATCCTGGCGATACGAATGCTCAATTAGGCCGTCTTAGCTCCTTGGGATCATATTTGGGCGGTCGATTCGGAATCGATGCTCGCCGCACAGACAACGGAGATCAGTTGTGTTCTGACCATGAACTGTTTCTGACAAGTACGAACTTTCAACATAAACGTCCGAATCGCGTAACCTGGCGGCCACCAACTGCGAATCAACTGTGGATCCGGTTGGACCACGTGGCTATTAGCCACCGATGGAGAACCACAATTCAAAACCGCTTTTCCTTCCGGGGCACAGCACTTGATTCCTATCGCGCCATAGTGCGTGTATGCCTGACACTTCAGGCCCTCACAATCCAATATCTTCGAAGAACGACGATAGCTCAACGGTACCGATCTGAGATAGCCAAACAACTATCCACAGTAAACCAATACTGTGGCGGCAGTGAGCATGTGGATGAAGCGTGACAAAATGCTAAAAAAAACTATGTTAGCAGCGTTCGGTGCTGTCTGTCCGACCTCTCCGATTCGACCACAAGACCACTGGATGTCGACGAGATCGCTATCCATGATCGATGCCAGGAAATCCATATCAGCAGGCATCGAGTACGACGGCGCACGCAAATCCCTCAAACGCAAAATCGTGAAGAGTCTAAGGAAAGACCGAGAGCTCTGGTGGAAATCGGAAGCTCGGGAGATGGAGAAGGCTTTTGATGCGGGAAACAGCCGTGCCGTATATCAACTGATACGATCGACTGGCCTTAGGAAGGCATCGGTCGGCGAAACGATAAGTGAAAAAGATGACCCATTAATTCAATCGCGATAAACGTCGACGGGAAAGGTGGGCCGAACACTTCGAAGGACAGCTCAGCCGGCCTCCTGCAACACAACCTGTAGAGATGGTGCATACAGGCAAATGGAATGTAAACATTGATCGCCCTTCGGAAGAAGAAATAAGGTACGAAATAGCTCTACCGAAACGCGAGAATGCACCAGGACCGGACGGTCTGTATCCAGCCCCCTACAAAGGAGGCGGGAGATCCCTGTTGGTCTATCTGACAAAGCTTATTGATATTGTAGCGGTTGCATCCACATCCACTATCTCAAGAATGCACCCCGGACGGTCTGTATCCAGCCCCCTACAAAGGAGGCGGGAGATCCCTGTTGGTCTATCTGACAAAGCTTATTGATATTGTTTGTATTGC